GACAGGGCAGGGGGTATTTTTAACCAGGGGTAACAGCTCGAGTTGCAGGACCAGGCGGCCCCACCCGACACTGCAGCCCTGGAGGGCATTCCCGGGCGTTGGGCCGCGGCAACGCCCCCTGGCAGCCTCTAGCCGTCCCCAGCCCCTAAGGCTCCTCCTCTGGGCCCCTCCTACGCACGGCCACAGCTGTCTTTACCCCCACCCTCTCCCCCAGTGGGTCCCCAGCGCGGAGCCGAGATTACCTCAGGCTGCAGCAGCTGCTTGGCGGAGGGTCCGGGCTGGCGGTGAGTGGACCCCTGCCGGACACTCGGCAAACGGCAACCCCACCCTAATCGGTCAGTGCGGCAGCAGCTGCAGCCGGGTTCTCGGGCAGGGCCGACACCCCACCCTGGCGACCTGGGGAACAGGCTCCCAGCACCGCCACTCCGACCTAGCGGCTCCGTGCGTCTGGGTAGGACGCAGGGAACTGGCCACCTAGGCCGCGCCTCGCTGCGTGACCTTGGGTGAGTCCCTGCCCCTGTCCGCCTTGGCTTCCCGGTTCGTGCAACGAATGGGACAGAGATGAACAATTGTAGGGGGCCCATCTTTCCCTTGGGCTATGGGGTTTCTTGTACCCGGAAACTGCGAGAGGTAGACATCCTCCCTTTTCCCCTTAGCCCTCAACCCACTCTCCTGGGAGCGCCCGTGTGCCGTCATACCCAGGAGGGGGCGGTAGAGGCTGCGAGCCCGACTGCAGGCCCACCTAGAACCGGGAGATCCTGCCTATGGAACTGCAAGAAGTTGAAGAGCTGAGAAAAGAAGTTGGGGAGAGAGGTACTCCTGTGGTTCCCCCCATTCAGGTCCTGTCATTGACTTTGGGGACACCAGCCCAGCAGCTGTTGTAGCTCTTATAGGGTGTATACACAAATATTTTGTTGGGCAAACAGTGCATAGCTCTCCTAGGATTTTAGACCTGTGACCCCAAGAAGGTTGAGCCACTCATCTAATCTAACCCCACTGTTGCTCCCAGTTTACATATGAAGAAAATTGAGGCCTGAGAAGGTGCGACTTGCTGAGCTCCCTCACCTGGTGAGTCGGCTGGAACCAGCTCTTGGGCCTTTTGCTCTTCACCATTCAGCATTTGTGTGTCCAATCGTGACTAAACCCTCCTGGCAGGTCTTTGCACAGCAGACACCCATGACTAGGCACACCAGACCCTGCTGGAGGAGGGGGCTCCTCTGGTCCAGTTTTGGGGATTAAGAAAAATGATTCCTGGTTGTGAGGATTCAGGGGAGGAGGAAGGGATAAATAGGTACAGCACAGGACATTTTTAGGGCAGTGAAACTACTCTGTATGACACTGTCATGATAGATACATGACATTACACATTTGTCAAACCCATAGAATGTATACCACCAAGAATGAGCCCTAATGGAAATTGTGAACTTTAGTTAATAATAATGTATCAGTATTGGTTCATCAATTGTAACAAATGATGTAACAAATGTAACACTATTGCAAGATGTTAATAATAGAAGAAAGAGTGTCTGTAAGCCTAAAACTGCTTAAAAAAAATAAAGTCTACCGCTGGCCAAGTGGCACATACGTTAAGAGTTGGCTTGGGACGCCAGCTCTGAGCAGCAGGGCCCCCGTTCAGATCCCACATGAGGGCCAGTGACGCTGTGCCCTCTACAGCTAAGATGGTGAACAACAGCTTGACCTGGAGCTGGGCTGCCACGAGTCGCCAGCAACAGTGAAGGCTGCAGCCCCTGTGGCAGTGGGCTGCTGTGAGCTACCGTGAGTGGCTGGCAGCAGTGGTAGCGGCTGTCCAATGGCCGGTGAGCGACTGCCTTGTTCGGGAAGAGCACAATGATAATACCAACATGGGCCAGTGAAGCGACATCCTCCACAACTAGACTGAAGAACTTGTCTGTTCCCCTCCCCCAACTCCCCAATAAAATATTTTTTAATAAATAAATAAATAAACAAAAAATAATAAAATAAAATCTACTTTAAAAAAAGAAAAGAAAAAAAACCCCACTAAACATACATTTACCATGTGACACAGCCATTCTATTCCTAGGTATTTACCCAAGAGAAATAAAAGCATATGTTTACACAATGACTTGTGCATGAATATTAGTAGCAGTTTTACTTGTAATGGCCCAAACGAGAAACAACCAAATGTGAATGGATAAACAAATTCTGATCATTTGGTAGTAGACTCACAGAACTCAGGAAAGTGCTTTACATACTATTACTAGTTTATTATAAGGGCTACAACTCAGGAACAGCCAAATAGAAGAGATGCATGGGACAAGGTATAGGGGGAGGGGCAGAGCTTCCATGCCTGCTCCAATGGAGGCATCCTCCCCGCACATCTGTGTTCACCAACCCAGAAACTCTCTGAATCTCCAGGCCCCCTCCCCTCCGTGAGGTGGTAGGGGAACTGAAAGTTCCCACCGTCCAAATTGGCCTTTCAAAGTGTTCAGCCCCCCCCCCAAAAAAAGTCACTCATTAGCATAAGCTCAGGTGTGGTTTAAAGGGGGTTCATTACTCCTGTAGCTCAGGAAATTCCAAGGGTTTTAGGAGCTCTGTGCCAGAAACCACAGACAAAGACCAACATATAT